TTTGATGTTCTTTATATCTCAGATATGATTTTTGTTACTCCTTTAGCTGCTTGAGTCTTCTTGATAATACAGTATCTTTCTTAGGTAAGATTTAACTATGGCCTATTGTAGACTTGTTCAAGCCATACTGCCCAGAAACATTAGGCATTTTCTGCCCACTCTCTACCTTTTCTATTATACTCTGACCTTTCAAAAAGAAAAATAGACACAAAACTTAATGAGTGCCTACCCGACAGTCTCGCGAATACATAAAAGAATTGTTTCTGTCAGAAAAATAAAAGGCTGGAATTAAAAGGAAGAGTTTCAAAGTTTGGAGGAATACTATCCGATTGGTATATACCGGCTTGAGCGTCGATGTCGACGTCTCCCACGCTCCGAAAGGTTTCGAATTGTTGCCCTAAGACAAGGGAAGACCAATCGGTATTCATTATTTTACATCGCTTCTTCTTGTGTTTGTTCTATGGGGTGTTCGTTATCCGATCATGTGTTCGTTATCCAAACATAAAAATCTTTCGCGAAAGTGTTCGTTATGCGATCTGTTCGTTAACCAATCACCCACAGTATTATGAAAGTAAATTTTAAGTTAGTATGTTTTAATTTGTTTATATGCATTATCAAGCTACTATGTTAGACTCTTTATTGTATTGCTCATAAAACACTAATGACAGAAAAGCTTTGCATATATACTTGATTTGTAATTTCTGTTTAGTTATGAAAATGTTGATTTTGATATATGCAATCATTTATAAGATATTGAAAACTGTTAACATTTTTATTTTCATTATCAATGATTATTTAACTCGGCTTCTTAAACTTTTTACATTCCTAACCCCTTTTTACTCAAGAAAATTTTTACATAATGGTGCATAGGTTTATAAAATTAGTAGACAAATAAAATCACTGATAATAAATCATAAAACAATTTATTCCAAAACTGTTCTTTGATATATATATTATTTTATCATTTATTAAAGACATAAGCAAATTTGCTTACTATTGAGATAGATATACTTGTTTATTTTCATAAAGAATTACTTTTTTCTGGATATTTGATACTGTAAGATGAAGGATATTGTCAACATTTTAAACATTTGGTTTTATACAACCAACGCACCTTTCCGGTTATCTGACAAATGTTTTTGATTCAATTTATAAGTCTGCCTCAGGTCATTGCAAAACTTTCAGTTGTTTGAAAAATTGGAAGACAACTTTTGTTCTATAATGCTTTTATAAGTTAATAGTTATGAAAAATCTAGGTTATATTTTTTGATATCTTGATGATCAAAAATTATAAAGAATATAAACAAAAAAATTTTAATAGTCAAAATTATGTCAAAAAATATCTGGATGTTCCATAACTTTAAACTTACAAAAACATTATAGAACAAAAGCTGCATTCCAGTTTTTAGAACAATTGAAAGTTCTGTGGTGACCCAAGGCAGACTTATAAATTGAGTCAAAAATGTTGGTCAGATATCCAATCCTTGGCTGGAAAATATGACTGTTGTATAATTGAGTGTTTAAATATGCCTTCTAGCTTTTTGAAATGATTTTCAATGTTTTTCAGACCAACATTTTGATTTTATAATTGTCAATGCTGAAAACACCACTTTACATAAATACATAGTATAAAATTTTACTGTTGTCAGATTTTTTGCAACCTCCCATATTCAGTTATGTGATCCCAGAAGAGTTATGACCCTCAGTTTAAGAAGTGCTGATTTAAATTTAACACTGCAGACTGCTATTCTACTTGTTATATGAATTAAATGAGTTTTGTCATTTTTTAATTAAAATTATATCAGAATGTAATTTTTATAACAGCATAGTTCTTAAATTCTTAATGATATTGCATAGATGATCAATACAAAACCTTCCTCACTTATTTCTATCCATTTATACACAAGGACGTGTATAAACAGCTAGAAATAAGTGAGGAAGGTTTTGTATTGATCATCATAAAATAGTTATAGCTACAAATGCATAGATATTGCATAAGTTTTAGTTAATCTGTATATAAATATACAGATTAACTACTGCTTATCATATTTTAAAGGAAATACTTAATATAATTAAGTTATATTTTGTTTATTGAAGAAATAAATTTCCTGGAGAAAATATAAATTTCATAAGAGAAAGATTATCTAGAATATTTAATATCTTAAAAAATATTATAAAGTTAATTTAGCCAATAAATTTTATAAGAATTATTTCTATATAGAAAGTAATTGGTATGGTATTTCTAGTTAATATAATATACAAGTGTCTAATTAAGACAAGTAACCATGAGTAATTAAGACAAGTAGCACAAAACTTGTTTAAAATTAATGCCATGAATTGTGAATAGTTGAAACTTATGTCATATGTAAATCAGTACATTATCCTATTACACAAGTGTCATGATAATAGCAGCACACCTCTGTGACAAAATGTAATGCACTATATAAACAATGAAATTGTTTCTGACAAACAATTATTTATTAGGATCACTAACAATGAGGAAGTGTTCCTCATACATTGGTAGCTTGTCAGGCATATCTCAGAGAAGGCATTTAGATAATTCATTTTTGCCATGTACTGTACATTTGTGTATATGGCTTTAATTTTGGTTTAACAAGTTTAGTTTTTAATTTTTTCCAAAAAATATATTNTTTTAAAATTAATTACACATGGTTTTTCAAAAGTAGTGCACCATAGGAGATTATGCATAGAAGCTTGTAGACAGAGCATCAGGCAAGTATATAGTGTAGTCGTTATATGAGGCGTTGTTTTGGATCTGCAATACTGTCAAATGGAAATTAATTGCATAAAATTTATATGCAAGGTCAAATCACTTTTAACTAATGTAGGCCCAGCTGTATAGTTTTGTAACAACTGCATGGGGGACCCCCAAAAAAAAAAACTGGATGTTTTGTATAAAAACTTTATTTATTAAGTTTTTTACAAAATTCCTTCAGTCGAAGAAAAGAATCAGCCCAGAGTGGGACTTAAACTCACAACTCCTGCTTACCGTGCAGATGTGCCACCAGTTACACTACCTGAGTCTGGTCTGATCTCCTCTTCCAGACATACTTAAATATGATATTACCATTCAAGGTTACATATGGTGCTGACTGGGGATGCCTTCAGTGCCCTTGTCTTATAAACTCTTACACATGGCACTCAACTGGCCATTGCTCAATCCTGGTATGTATGTTTGGAAGAAAAGATCAGACTGGAGGCTCAGGTAGTGTAACTGGCAATGCATCTGCATGGTAAGTAGGAGTTGCAGGTTTGAGTCCTGCTCTCGGGTCAATTAATTTTCTTTTCTTCCAGAATATTCTAAATTTTACGGACATTTTTGTTTATACAGGCGACAGTTTATCTTATCCATGTAAACCACATGTTGTTTCATACTAATTAATTGATGCTCTAAAACTTTCTAATTGGAAAGTTTGCTTTATCTGTTTTCATTTTTGATTTGCACTGCCTATCTTCCAAATTTCGCCACTAAGTGCGCTGCTGTTGTTTGCATTAGATCGGGCATAGTCACTTTACTATACTGTTACTTCACTTACATAGCTGTAGCTTTCTCTGTTCACATGAATTTTCCAGTTAAAGGGACTTTCCTATGCACCCTGTATAGATGTTAATGTATGAAAGCAATTTAAATTGTATTTATATTTATTTTATACTTTTTAGCTTCTTTTTACAATAAGCTGATAAACTGCTTGTAAAATCACAGTGAAAATATTATTTCTTAATCTTCTTATTCAAAATGTGCGTTTCTGGAGTTTGTATTGATTCAAAAGCCTTTTATCAGATATGATGATATAATTTCAAAAGGCTAGGCTTTTGAAATTATATCATCATATCTGATATTTTCTTTCTAAAAATGAACAAGTTGTTCATATAAATTGAAAATTATTATTTTTTTTTAAATTGCATGATGCAATAAAAAAAATAAAATATCTCTTCAGAGAAGATAATAGCAGTTCCATAGTGAGAATGTCAAAATTGATATAAATTTTTTCATAAAAAGTGTATTTGAAGTAAGAAAAAAATGAAAGTAATGTAAAAAATGCACAATTTAAAACTGTACAAAAATGTGCTCTATAAACAAAAAATGCATATTTTCAAAACAATATTTTGCACAAATAAAAAAAATATAGAAATTTAGCAATAAATAATAATAATAATAATTGTCTTATTAAAAAATGTTATATTCATAAAAATGATAATATATTATTTAACAATTAAAAAATGGCTGGAATTAATAACTTATTACTAGTTTACATCTCAGTATTGAGTGTAATACTCCACAGAATGAAAAATACAAAAATGTTATTTATTTTTACTATAGAAATTTGAAAGATATTAAGAATTATAATAATTTATTCTGATAATTATAAAAACAGGAGATGAAAAATAAAAATATGTTTATGTATTATATTTATTTAATTGGGCTGCAATTTGAAAAAATTGTAGACTTATAAATTCCCACTGTTATCCGTCTGTCTGTCTTTCCTTAATCTCGAGAATGGTGTTAGATAAATGAAATTCAAGACAAGATATGGAAAGTTTAGAGCAGGAGGCCCCGATTAACTATGTACAAACTTCCAGTGTAAACTGGAACTATGTACAAACTTCCAGTTTACACTGGAAGTTTGTACATAGTTAGAGAATAATGTGACATTATTTTAATTCAAAAGTTTTCCTCTGAAAGGAGTTAGGTAGATGACCGGAATGACTCAATTGCTAAAGGAAAAGTATAATGTACAGGAACAAGACATTACTAATTTGAAGTGAAGAGTATATATTTATATTAAATAAATTAAAATTATGTTTAAAAATTGCAGCCTGGCATTGTGACATTGTCACAAAATAATTGCTCATTGAAGTTAATTTTAATTTGTTGAAATTAAAGAAACAATTCAATAAAACTTTTTATATTTGAGAAATTTTAATAGCATATTGAATATCATTAAAATCACTTTTGTTTATTTTTTTTTTTTTTGTAGCCATCGAAAGAACCAAAGAGGGGACTTGCTGAAGATGATGAAATTGAAGCAAGGCCACGCTTAAAACGAATAGCTCAAATACCAGAATTTTTTCATTCGGATAGGAGGAGTTTGAGACAAGGTCAAATGTTGATTTATTTATAATTGGGTGATCTTATCATAGCTTTTAATTGCTACCAGCTAGTGAAAATGTACAAGTATTCTTTGATTAACACAGTTAATTAATCTCTCAATGTTATTGCATATATCAAATTCATGTTAATCAAATACAGACTCAACCAAACAATCACTACCCACTAGAAATTTTCAGTTAATAACAAATATTTTTATTTTAATAAACGAAAATAGCAAATTCACCAACACTTTATTTGTCAAGAAGAACATATCTATATTAAGTAAAGACAGCTGTTATAGCTGCATTAATTGCAATTTCTGCTGAGTATAAAAAGTAATTACTGAAATTAATGTCATTTGTTAATCAAATCTTGCATTAAGCAAGCGATACCTGTAGTCAGTTCATTCGTTTTGCAAGAATAATAAAAGCTTGAGAGACCAAGCTAATTTAATGAAGTATTGATATAATATACTAATACTAAATTTCATTTGGTACTAAAGTTTTTAATTATTTTTAGTTAAAAACAAACTTATTTGTTTTGTTAAATATGAACATATAGCTTGTACTGTTGTACTATTGCAGATTATTTCATTAGGTATAGCTAAGCTGGCTGGATAAATTTTTTACTGTGCAATTTTTAAAATTAATTACACATGGTTTTTCAAAAGTAGTGCACCATAGGAGATTATGCATAGAAGCTTGTAGACAGAGCATCAGGCAAGTATATAGTGTAGTCGTTATATGAGGCGTCGTTTTGGATCTGCAATACTGTCAAATGGAAATTAATTGCATAAAATTTATATGCAAGGTCAAATCACTTTTAACTAATGTAGGCCCAGCTGTATAGTTTTGTAACAACTGCATGGGGGACCCCAAAAAAAAAAAAAAAACTGGATGTTTTGTATAAAAACTTTATTTATTAAGTTTTTTACAAAATTCCTTCAGTCGAAGAAAAGAATCAGCCCAGAGTGGGACTTGAATCTGCAATTCCTGCACACCATACAGATGCATTTCCAGTTAGGCTACCTGGACCTCTGTCCAATTGAGAACAACTCCAGGCTGGTTATTATTAAAATTAATATGACATAGCAGCATAACCACCTACCTCTAGATCAGGGGTCACCAAAGTGGTCTATATCAGCACCTAAGGATCGATATCAGTTGAGAGAAGCATAACTTTTGCCTTGTCATATGTCATATATAAGAGTTTCCCAATAATGTTATATTGACCCCTAAGGGTCGATATAACATTATTGGGAAGTCGATGAAGAC